ACATTTACAGCTCAACTCTACATATAATTAAATAAAGTTTTATTGCTGGTTAAAGTGGGATTGTGCATTGTCCATACTTTAATTTTAGGAGGGGAATGGTTTGCATATATGAAAGCATTCATAGATCCCTACTCAACAAATTTCACATTTAATATGATTTGTCTCTTGACAGTATCATAATTTTTCAAATTTGTCTCTAATTTCTCACAGCAATTGTTCAGGAAGAAATGTCAATGTTCAAGTCTTTCAATTTTTTGCTTATTTCATAGAATTCTTGATTGCCGAAGTTTGACAGCATGGATTTTTGTGGTTTTTATATTAACTTAATACAGTTGTATACAAAGACAATTCCCTTGGGTCCTACTATTGACTTAAAGTCTATTGCTGCGTCATGCAATGGATATGTTGGAGCTGATTTGGAGGCTTTGTGTCGTGAAGCTACCATGTTTGCAATTAAAAGATCCTCAAGTACAAAAGATGCTAGTAATTTCAATCTAACAAAGGAAGATTGGAAGAATGCAAGGTCTGTTGTAGGTCCAAGTATAACAAGAGGTGTTACTGTGGAAATTCCCAAAGTTACTTGGGAAGACATTGGTGGATTAAAAGAATTAAAGGTTTGTTAAATTTTGCATTTGAATTTGTCTGAGAATCTTCATTAATACCTGTTATTGTCCTTGAACAGAAAAAACTCCAGCAAGCTGTTGAATGGCCTATTAAGCATTCTGCTGCTTTTTCAAGATTGGGAATATCCCCTGTACGTGGAATTCTTCTCCATGGGCCTCCAGGATGTTCCAAAACTACCCTTGCCAAAGCTGCTGCACACGCTGCCCAAGCATCTTTCTTTTCCTTAAGGTTTTAATATTTTATTGTTTTAGTTTTATCTTTCTAGTGTGGGAGAAATGGGCCTTGGCCTTAGCAGGACTGATGTTTATGGCTAACATGAAATGGATCCTTTCCCTTTTTTTAGGGTAATTGACAGTCATTTAGAGAGAAAGAAACTCTCCTGTGCTAGCACCCACTATTTTATTTTCAAGTCCCTTCAAACACTTCTAGAATTAATTTTATCTTTCTGTGAATATGATTTCATCCTTTTCAAGTGAGTATCCAAATCATTCTACGATAAATGGTTTTCCTAAAATAAAGAGTTGTTGGATCATACATGCCAATGAAATGAACAAAGTTGGTTTGAAATTCAACAAAATAAATTGTCTTTCATAAATGGGTAAACTAATGTGATAGATATGGGCAGCTATTGAAAGTTGAACCCCTGTTAACACCTTCTCTTTATCATATCCCACTTTTCGTGTTGATAAGTAGCAGTCAGCTTATTTAATATGTTCTAGATTTCTCGTTCTACAGTTCCATAACATTCTGATTTCTGTGATTATATAGTTTTTTCTTTACATCTTGTTTTTTCCTTGGCAATTCAGTTTCTTATAGAAACTGATTTCCAAATAATGGGAAAATTTACAAGTAATGAATGATGAATTAGTGGTGCAGAATTGTATTCGATGTATGTTGGAGAGGGGGAAGCTTTGCTACGTAAAACATTTCAGAGAGCACGCCTTGCAGCACCCAGTATAATATTCTTTGACGAGGCTGATGTGGTAGCTGCCAAACGGTTAGTAAACTTTCTTTATTTAAAATATATCATGGGAAAAAAATATTAAACATCATATGGTCTTTGTTCCGCTCATCTTACCTTTTAGTATTAGAATTGTTTGCCTTGTTAGAATAGGTTAACTTATCTTCTGTTTTCTCTAAGAAAGGTAAAATGTTGTTCTTGTGGTGCCTATCTTTCACTTAGGTGTAGTCTTTTCGTATCTTCTCTTTGTATCTCTGATGTAAGGACTGTTATATATAAATACATGAATCAGCTGAGAGTTGAATCATCTCTTGAGCATTCTTTCTCATATTTTCATTCTCACGTTTATCCATTGTGATAGCATTTAATGATCAGATTTCATTTGATTTGACGTTAGGAAAATGATGTTCGACACAAATGTTTTGATGCTAAACACTAAATTGCGGTGGCTCTCGATGATTAGTCTCAGTAATAATATTTAACATCCCGTAAAGTGGGATTGCATCAAACCACAAACTGAACTGTTCTTGGTCAATTTTATGTTTCAAGTGTTACCTGCATCTATATTATGATATTGACTTGATGAAAGCGTTTCTATGATTCGCAAGATGGGAACACGAATCTATTTTTAATATTTTTTACTGCATAAAGTTATATTGAGTTTTCCCTTAATTGCAGGGGTGACAGTTCTAGCAATAGTGCTACAGTTGGAGAGAGACTTTTATCCACTCTGCTAACTGAGATTGATGGCTTAGAAGAAGCAAAAGTACGTCTGCCTTTTTCTTCTGCTGCTGTTTGTTTAATGATATTTTTCCTACTGCCCTTTCCTTTTTCTCTACCTACGAATTCTTCTTTTATCAAAAGGATAAAAGTAATCATAAATCTAGATTCTAAGAGATGGTAGGCATCATTTAGTTTCTTTCTGCCTGTTTGTTAACCACATCCCTTCTTTTTTCAGGGAATTCTTGTTTTAGCAGCTACAAATCGCCCCTATGCAATTGATGCTGCACTTATGCGTCCAGGGCGTTTTGATCAGGTACAAAATAATATCTTCTACCACACATGTGATTCAGCTTGTAACTTGAATTCTACATGTTATAATATACCAAGGATTTGTGCATGTACAGTAATGGAAGAATTTCACAAATCACTCACAAAATTACTGTTGAAGATCTACTCCAAGCAATTGACACTGATTTTGGTCAAATATTTTGTCTCACTCTGGTCTATTTTTATGGAATGATAGGTTCTGTATGTACCACCACCTGATTTAGAGGCTCGATACGAGATACTTTGTGTTCATACACGGAAGATGAAAACTGGGGATGATGTTGACCTCAGAAGGCTAGCAGAAGACACAGAGCTCTTCACAGGTGCTGAACTGGAGGGATTATGCAAGGAAGCTGGAATTGTAGCTCTAAGGGAAGACATATCTGCTGCCGTTGTTTGTGACCGCCATTTCCAGATAGCAAGGGGTTCTTTAAAACCAGCGTTAACACAAACTGAAATTAACTCGTACTCATCTTTCATAAAGACCTCATCTCGAGCTTTGCCTAGCTGCGCTGAAGCAGGTTTGAAACCAGACAAAGGCAAAAACAACAGGTTGGATTCTCTGTCTTTGGTCAAAATTGGGTTTGTCAGCTGTTTGTTACTTGCTGCTGCTGCTGAATACTATATCATGTATGGCTACCAAAGTGTACATGACATAGCTACCTGAAGAGCATATTCCTTTGTAGTTTTTGGATCAATCCATTTTTTATTCTGTAGGCGTAGTATTTGTGAGTAAAATTTGATAATAGTAAGATTTCTTTTATTACATACAGTTATTCGTAAGGTAATTTCATAAGGATTTATATATATGATTTTGCATAATTTTACAAAATAACTAATGCTACGAATGGACTAGGTTCGGGGTGCGACAACACTTGAAAAGCATGAGACACATTCTTAATGCATACCAGGTATATCTGAAACTTGCAAAGCGTGACACGTGGCCCCTCCAACTGAGTTTCTTCAATATAACTACCTGTGCATGTATTGTATATTCAAACAGTAATATATTAAGTAATCACATAAGGCAGTCAAAAGAAAAAAAAAACACAATGATTACAGAAAATAAGACATTTTTTTCTACACCAATTTCATAGACAAATAATTTCTGTCACAAGTTAACTAACTACAATTTCTTTATCCACCCAATAGTAATAACAACAAATGAGAGGGCATTTTAACCTTTCAATTATTTTTCTTATTAAAATCATACACTAATATAAGTATAATTTTTTTTATCACTTTTAGTCGGCTCTTTTGAAGAAAGCGATTAAATTAAAGGACTTAAATTATACTTGGTTCTTAAGTTCATATATTAAAATGATAATATATGGTAAAGTTAAAAGATCAAAATGACTTGAAGGAAGGACTGAAATAATTGTAAGTATATTATGTAGATAAAGTTTCTAATAACAAAATTAAAATTAGAGTCGACACAATCAGTTTAAACTTGTGAGCTTATCCATAATGGGTTTATGATAAATCGAGTTAAAAAATGAGAAATTTTACAAATGACTTAACCCACTCGAGTTGAATCTCATTGGGTTAATCCACCAACTCCTCTAAAAAAAAGAAAAAAAAAAACACTTAATTTTAGGCACAGCAAAACTAAGCTAGCCGGAGCCATTCCCTCACTCCATCTTATGATAATTCTAATTCATAAGTTTATATTGACCCGTCTAGCTTAACGTATCAACGGGAACAAATAAGACCTGGGTTTAAAAAATATTTACATGTTAAAACTAAAATTAAAATAATTTTTAATTTAAAATACTTTTTTAATCATTAAATATGTAAATATATTATAATATTATAATTTAACTTATAAATATTAATAAATTAAATTTAAATTATTAATTATAATTAAATATCTTAATATATAAATATAATTATTTTATTTAATATACAATATTAATTAATAAGTAAAAACCTAAAAAATGTTTATATAATTTTTTATATTTTTAAAAAATATAAAAAATTATATATATAAAAAAATTAACGAGTTGATATATTAATAATGTAGTTGGTAACGAATTACCAGGACTAAAACGAGTTAAGATTATCGTATTTTATAATTAAAAAATAATACTTTAATATTTTTTATAAGATATACTCAATTAACAATTCGAATATAAATATAAATAACCATAATGTCTATAAAAAGGTTGCTATTATTATATTATTATTACAGTAGAATTATCAACCCAGCATGATATAAAAGGTAGTCTATACTCTTTATATTTACAATGATAAATGAAAGGATATATTTAATAATTTTATTTTCTTCAAAATCTAAATTGGTTATAATTCAAGTTCTTTCACAGTCATTTATTCCTGGTTTTGCCTCCTTTGTATTGCGGCCACCATGCCTTCAGTGCATAGGGGAAACTTCCCCAATCGCCAAACCCAATGCTCCGCGCGGTATTCTCCTAATCCCCATTAGGGCTTCACAATCACTTCAACACGAAAAACATTAAATGCAAAGTTTTCAATTTGTGATGCAATATTTGTAATATCTTCTTATGCAGGAGGCAGAAGATTGTACAACAGAGGAAGTCCCTTCCAATTGCTTCAGGTATGTATCTATAGGTGTTGCCTTGACCTTTTAGGGGTTAATACTTTCAATTTCAACTTGTGGCAATGTGTAATAATAAGAATAACTATTCAGAATGAACTTATTACTGCTGGCATTGTGTATTTCTGTTGTAGTTGAGAAAAGACTGGTTGAAGAGGTTCGGAAGAACGATGTGTTGATTATTGTTGGTGAAACTGGAAGCGGAAAGACCACTCGTAGGTTACATTTTATCCTCGTGGAGTGCTTATCACAGTGTTGTATATAATATAGGTTTCACGATAAAATGAAAAAAATGGTTAAGGTAATGGATTTCACTATGTTGTGTTGTGCTGTGTAGAGATTCCACAGTTTCTGTTCGATGCTGGTTTTTGTCGCGATGGAAGGGTTATTGGGGTAACACAACCTAGACGTGTAGCTGCTGTCACTGTGGCTAAACGAGTTGCTGAGGAATGTGGGGTTGAGTTGGGTCGTAAGGTTGGCTATTCTGTTAGATTTGATGACACTACTTCTGGCTCAACAAGGATCAAGTATATGACAGATGGTTTACTTTTGAGGTACTCATTTTGGATAACATGGACTACTTGTTTTCCTTTCCGTTAAGATTAATTTTAAAGAAACTTGGCCTATGAAAACACAGCCCTTTGATTTTTCTTCTTCTTGGTAACAAACAAAAGAAGATATTAAATTTTAGGTTAAAATTTCCCTTTTTCTTTGTATTTGTGTGAAGTTAGTGGGATTCAAAGATTTGTAATTTGGTATTCCATCCGCCCTCTTACTGAGTTGGGATTGTGGGTTTAAGATGGCTATATGTTTGGAGCTGCTAAAAAAGTTTTGAATTAAAATATGTTGTTTTCCATGGTTTTATGAATATAGGAGGGTTGATATGCATTTTGTTGTGCTTACAGGGAAGCATTGTTAGATCCATATCTTTCTAAGTATTCTGTTATAATTGTTGATGAGGCACATGAGAGGACTGTTCACACTGATGTCTTGATGGGCCTGCTAAAGAACGTACAACTCGCTAGGTCAAGTTCTGTCAGTGATGGTCAGTGCCTTAGGTTTGGAAAAAAGAACGTGAAGAAAGTCATGACATTAGAAAAAGAAAATGAGCAGAGTGAAAGATTTCATAAAAGGCCTCTCTATGAGAAGTATACTCCATTGAAGATAATCATCATGTCTGCAAGTCTTGATGCACGGGCTTTCTCTGAGTACTTTGGTGGTGCCAAAGCTGTTCACATCCAAGGGAGACAGTTTCCTGTAGACATATTTTATACTCGTATTGCAGAGACAGATTATTTAGATGCTTCCTTAATAACAATATTCCAGGTATTTGGTTTCGTATGTAATTCAATATAATGTGATTTAGCTTTTATTTTATTGTTAGGTAGAGATTTTTGGATCCCAAACAATGCATTAATCTTGGTGCATTGTTTTGCGTAAGCTTTTTTTCTATTTACAGTTTCATATATCATGGTCATCCTGTTCTATTCTTTCTTGGTAATGGTATTTCTGGTTCATGTCTTTCATTTTATAGATTCATTTAGAGGAGGGTCCTGGTGATATACTAGTGTTTCTGACTGGGCAAGAAGAGATTGAATCTGTTGAAAGGCTTATCAAAGAGAAACTCCCACAATTACCTCAAGAAAATCAGAAGCTTCTGATTGTGCCTATATTTGCAGCTCTTCCATCTGAGCAGCAAATGCGGGTCTTTGCTCCAGCTCCATCTGGGTTTCGTAAGGTACAATCAGCCATGCGTTTGATCTTATTAATATATGTAGGTGTTAGAATTAAATAAAATGGGGAAAACAAGCTTTGATTACTTATTTGTAAAACTATTTTATTTATTTTAAGCAGTTGACATGTCCTGTTGAGACAACCTTTTTTCTCTGATCATGTTGACAAATTTAAAGTAAATGCTGGTATTTATTTTTTTGAGTTCCAATAGGTTTAGGACATTCGCACATGATTTTGGATTGCTTTTTTTTTTTAATATGCAAATTTCATGGATGTTCTCTTGGACACATATGACTTAAGTAATGATCATCTTATTCATAATTGATAAGCACAAGCATGTAAACAGCATTATGCACTCTGAACATGACACAGCTCCCTTCTTTCTAGTTCATGCAGTGATTTTTATTTTTTATTTTTGCAACATTATCATTTGCTGCTTTTCTCATTTTATCAAACTACCACTTTTCTTCACAGTCACACTTACTGTGAAGCAATTGTGGGTACCAACCAACAATATGCCATTACTGAACCCGTCACCTTACAACCTGATCACATGCAACTACTATCAACTTTTTGTCATCACCTATACTACCACTAATGCTTTGTTTCTCTTAACTAACATTGCTTCTGCTGTATATACTAAGTCATTTGCCTTGGTATAATTCCTATAGATAATACATTGAAATAACAGAATGGTATCTTTGACTTTACAATGTTGAACTTGAGCATCATCTATTAATGTGAGCTTATATAGATTCAAATGAACTTGTGGTATCTTATCAGGTTATTGCTTCTTTTTAATTGTACTAAAATTATCACTTTGTTGTTTTTTAAGGTGATACTGGCAACTAATATTGCTGAGACATCAGTAACAATTCCAGGAATCAAGTATGTAATTGATCCTGGATTTGTCAAAGCACGTTCCTATGACCCGGGAAAAGGCATGGAATCGTTGATTATAGTACCTACATCCAAGTCCCAAGCTCTGCAAAGAAGGTGGTGCTAGGCTATGTTTGAGTTTGTTTAATGTTTAATTGTCACTTGCAAATAATGGTTGAATTAATTCAGTTAATGATATGAAGTTTGGCTCAGTTTGGCTGAGGATGACTCCTTTCGTTTTTTTGTTGCGATTGGTAATTGACATTTCTGGTATTGCATGACAGATTTTTTAGATTTGAATCTATCATCAATATTTATAGTACTTACTATTTATTTTTAAATTAGTATTCTTGCAGATGCTTGTCCATATTAACTTTGTTAATCGGTGAATGTGAAAGATTATAAACCTCCAAATATATAATAAACCTGTTAATGTAAAGGATCATTTTTATCTTTCATGAAATATTTTATTTCTGAACAATTTTATTTTATACAATTGCTCATTTTTGAGTTATGATTTATTTTATGTGTTTCCCTATTAAATCTTATTTTGGTTATAATGTAATGGTTGGTATTTTATTCATGCGGTTAATTTCAGCTAAGTTATCTTCATGAATTTAACATATATATTTAAATAAATTTTACTTAAAGAGTAGTACACATTGATTATCAATATTGCCTTTCTTGGGTATTAGTGGGCGTGCAGGGCGTGAAGGACCTGGAAAATGCTTCCGCCTATATCCTGAAAAAGAATTTGAGAAACTTGAGGACTCAACAATGCCAGAGATTAAGCGGTGCAACCTTTCTAATGTCATTTTACAGCTTAAGGCTCTAGGTGTTGATGACATACTAGGGTTTGATTTTATTGAAAAACCTTCAAGGTAAGAGAACCTTCCAGAATTTTGGTCTGGCAGTTTCCCTACATTTGCGTGTGTTGATATTTATATGATTCCATATTTTTGGTTGATAAATTTTCTGTATCTTTAAAAATGAAGTTATTAAAGGAGTACCTAGATATTATTCATATACTGAAATGATAAGAAAGGTATGACATTCATTTATGTAAATAAATAACCAAAAATTAATAAAATGTTATATATATTATTGCCTCTACTTTTGGGAATGTATATCCACTAAATAAGCTACTCAGAAGAATGCAGAGGCCAAACGTATTAAAACATTGCATGGACCTTGATCAACAAAACCATACGCCTGGATAATTTTTTAGTTTTTAAGCATTTTTATGTGTACATTAAGATATTTAGTAACATGTAGTTGTTTTCACTTATGATGTCCACTATGCACGTCAACAATAGTTAGTAACGACTGACCACTTCTGACCAGATGTAGTATAATAGTGTACAAGGGATTTAGTGATCTATTATTTTTCATCAGCCATTACTCATCAGTTAGACAAAATGCTTGTGATGCTATCTCATTTGTTGTACTCCAGAACTAAATTAGCATTTTTTAGGGATCTTTGTTACTATAATTTTTTAAAGTATTTGAAGTAGCAAAATATTACTTAATGTTGTGCTTATGTTTGTTTGAACAGGGAAGCTATTATAAAATCATTGGAGCAACTATTTTTGTTAGGTGCTCTAACGGATGAATGTCAACTATCTGATCCCGTAGGGCATCAAATGGCTCGACTGCCCTTGGATCCTATTTATTCCAAAGCTCTTATTTTAGCCAGTCAGTTTAACTGTTTGGAGGAGATGTTGATAACTGTAGCCCTGCTGTCTGTGGAATCGATATTTTATAGTCCTCGTGACAAGTTAGAAGAGGTTTGAGGACTGAACTCCAATTGCATTCCTATTATATTCTATTTTGATGTCATGATGAAACACAGTACAAAGATTGCAAGTGATTATGTATATATTACTAGTCTATCACTCTATTAACTATTTAATAAAATATTTATATATATCGTTTGCATGATTTTAACATATGCAGTTGACCGACTGTATGAAGGTTTTCTGGTGTTCGTGTATTTCCATACACCACCGGTTCCCTCTTAATATTTATCTCAAAATGATTTTGTTTTCTGGTTTCTCCCATATTTTACCAGGCAAGAACTGCAACAAAATGCTTCTCTAGTCCAGAGGGGGACCACATCACTTTGATAAATGTGTATCGAGCATCTAATGATTTCTTGGAGAAGAGATCAACGGAAATGAGTATGGCAAAAACTGAAAAGGCTTATAGAAAATGGTGCAAAGAAAATTTTATTAATAGCCGGTCTCTAAGACACGCACGTGATATTCACAGGTTATTTTATCATGTTAGGCTAAATATCAAAGATTCATGATAGTCATGATACTGTACTCCGGTCCAGAGATAATGATTTCTCATTTCCAAAATACCTTTTTGCAGGCAGATTAAGGGACATGTTGAACAAATGGGTCTTAATCTTTCTTCTTGTGGAGATGATATGCTTCAATTCCGCAGGTGCCTAGCTGCTTCCTTTTTCCTCAATGCAGCTGTAAAGCAGCCAGAGGGAACATACAGGTATCTAACTCAACTAAGAAATTCTTGGGCTGTCCTGTCTGTGTGGCCTGCTTTCAATTCCCTACTGTAATTAGGTCGCATTATGATTTGAAATTCTTTTTTGGTATTTTGACACACTAATTGGAATCCTTAACTGCACATACTTTTTATTTTGCTATTAAAAGACTCTTATTTCCTACTTAAATGACAGGGCTTTGGCAAGTGGTCAGGTGGTGCAGATCCACCCTTCTTCTGTATTATTCCGGCAAAAACCAGAATGTGTGATATTTAACGAATTGGTCCAAACAAATAACAAGTATGTTCGAAATTTAACCAGAGTTGATTACCTATGGTTAACTGAGCTAGCTCCTCAATATTACGCCATGCAGAATTAAATTCTTGATTGTGCCACTAAACACGTGAGTTGCATTACCATTACTGTAATCTTTTTTTGTTTGGGCTTGATTGTTTGGGTAGTTTAAATACTTATATAATGTGCAAAGTTGATAGTTTACATCCACAATTTTCTGTGTAAGCCCCTTATTCTATCTTCATTACTGGGGGCTGGCCTCTATGCAATCTGGGATTGAAACCACTGCGTACATCTTTATTGCCTCCTGCTAGTCTGTCTTAATCTATATTTCACTATAATTGTTACACACTTGAGAATGAAAATATGAGAAAGAATGCTTAAGAGCCATTCTCATTTGCTGAATTTCACAAAATTTCAGCTCTTGGATGAATTGTTTTATCACACAAGTTCATAAGTGAGTGGTGTCATTGCCCTATACTCAATTTCAGAACTAGATCAAGTAACCACAATTTGTTTCTTGTTTTTCCAAGAAATAATATTCGTCCAATTAAAACACAATATCCAGAAGTGGAATGTCTCTCTATAAGAGATCCTACCTAATCAGCAGTACAATACTCAAACATAGTATTTCCCTTATCTTAATACAGATCCTTGTCCCGGAGCACTTTAGGGGCATTTGAGGATGCAAATGACAACATTCTAGTGATATTGATGAGGAGGCTACATAGATTGACTAACTACTCCAATTGCAAAAGACAAGTTAGGTCTAGTGATAGTGAGATAAACAAATTTTCTAACAATTCTTCTATATCTCTAAGAAAGGTTCACTTTATGTTTCCATTAATTTTTGATTTGGATACAAAGAACTATCTATGGTTCTATGATGGAAATCTCACCTCACTAGAGATATGGTCAAATTGTAGTATATAAGTGGGATGCAAACTCATTTTTTAAGATGGTATTAGAGTCTATTCTAGCAATGTATGTTTGAGTGGGTTATTTTTTCACTTGTTATCAGGCTACTATCAAACCACCCACCACAAGTATCTAATCTCATTCTCGAGATGTCCACTTCTCATAACGAGGAAGTGTGTTGGAAATCCCACATTGACTAAAGATATAGTCAAATTGTAGTATATAAATAGGGTATAAACATCAGTAATGAAGAAGCTAATTTATTTTTTTCTTCCTATTTTTCTCTCTTATAAGTGCTTATAAAGAAAAAGGTCTTAAATTCATGACTTGGCATATCAATGCTTCCCAGTACTGAAGCAGCCAATTTAGTCAAACTCAATATTTTATTTGGACTTGGGAAGGAGGAACATAATCATAAACCATGTTCTCATTTGTTCTTGTATTGCATGTTAGCTTCATTTCTCTAAAAATAACTTGTTTGATGTTCAGAGGATTTGGTACAAAGAGCATTGGCATTGTTCTTAGGCTGCATTTCTTCGGTGTATATGGTTGGAAAGAAATGCTAGAACCTTCTCAGCACAACATTCTTCTATAGAGTTCGTTTTAGATCAGCTAGTTTTTCAGACTTCTTTGAGTTTCTGTTCATGGTCGTTTAATGATGTTTCCTTTAATAGAACTTCAGTGAGATTGACATGCTATGTTAAATTTTTGTGGATCCTTGTTTTTTATTTTTTTATCCTGCTTATATTTGGTTGTGATTTTTAGTTCTTGAGGATTTCTTATACTCTTGTGTCTTTCCTTGCTTATAAGTTATAATATATGTGGATATAATCAAATACACCAGAGAACAGATGCCATAGATACTTCCTCCTCATTTGTTATGCATTATTTAGAAATAAAAAATTGATGTACTTGCCTTGCAAATTGGAATAATGTCATGGTTCTTCTTTCTGCATAGAGACAAAAAATTGGGACAGCGTTAGTATTGGGCTGTAGTTCTTGCTAAACAAAGTAATTTTTTTCGTATATTATTAGGTGCTGAGATATTTGATTTTTCATATTATTGGTTACTTGATTGTTTATCTGTTGAAACAGATCAATACAAGTTCAGATTTTGCCTCGCCACTGCTTTATGGATCTTTTCGTAATGACGGGTTTTGATTTTGTTGTCTTTGTCATTTCTGGAAAGTGAAGATGGCACTTAATACTATAATGACAAGCACATCTTGCTGGGTTGTTGTCACGTTATTTTCTCTTGAGCAGCAATGACCACTAAGATTGAGGAACAAGTATGTGGTGGTAGGGTGCACCTTACAGTTGTGAGCTCATTGGTGTGGTAGCTTGAACAACGAAGTTGTGTACAGGCTAGTTGTTTATAAATGTTCATTTCTGTATCATTCAGAATACTGAATTTAATCTTGTAGAATATGAATTGTATGATTAGTATGCCAAGTCATTCTTTAAATCACATTATGCACATTTCTTTTGGGATAAGTGATGAGGGCTATTGTTATTTTCACCCCTCATCAGCAATTTTCGATGTATACTTCTAAATTGGTAGATTTGCTTTATCAAGGTAGCATCACCTGATTACTCTCCATCAATAGGACATGGACTTGTTTCATTACGGGTACAATGCTTAGTAGATTTTCTTTTTTTCTTTCAAATGACAGTGTTTAATAACTTCTTCATACAAGGCAGGGAATCATAATAATCAATTTCTTGTTACCTCTGCTTTCAATAAAGAGTTTTTGGTCCAGGGACATTGTTCATAATATTCTAAAGTTCACTGTCAAATATTAATCAGAATTTGATAATATATGAGAAGGACCTATCATCATACATTTTAATTCTATTAGGATTTTATATATAGTAGATAACAAATAAGATAATAATAGAATATAATATTAATAACATTGAAATTACAAAAAGATTGTTGCTAAAATTACTATGGTTTTCTAAAAGCTATAATTTAGTTTATTTTTAAATTTAACAAACATTAAGTGTTATATATAAACATTAAGTATTTAATTATATATTTAATACACTATCAATAGTACCTTATTATGTTTCTTTCTAAATCACGGTATCCTTTTTATATATAAAATATTGTTACACTGAGAAGACAAAGAATAAAATGATGTTATTATATTATATATTAGTTTATCTGATTCTAATAAATTAAATGAAGATATATATATATATATATATATAAATTATTATGGTCTTAATACTTAATCGGTATAGAATATATAAACTTTTATGTAATTGTACTTATATAAAAGATATTAATTAATTTGAGACAATTAACTTTTTATTAAGAGTGTGATGATGTTTATGACACTACCCTCGACTAGTTAGTTACACGTGTGTATATAGTTGAGATATTTTTGAAAAGCACAAATATAGAGTTGAATAGTGTGCTAGATAAGATGTGAATTTTTCTTTTTCAATTATAATTTTAAAAGCTTATATCTAAATATGTGGATTGTACATTGACTTTTTTTTTTTCATAAATAATATTATTTTAAAATATATTTCCTAAAACAACGTATTTAAAATATTATTTATCCATTTAACATTATTTACTGTTTACGTTTAGAATTCGGTTCCTGAGAATAGAATTTTGAACTACCATTTTTAATTTTCTTTAATTTTTTCAATCAACATATGGGAGAAATCGAACTGGTTTTTCTAATTTTTTTTTAGTTTTAGTTTTAGTTTTATTAATTTTATAAATAGATTTTTTTTATAATTCTAAATATAATTTATTTTGAAGTTTATAATTATTATTTTAATTTATGCAATATATATAATTAATTAATTTGAAATTTATATATATAATTTTAATTTATGTAATATATATATATATATAATTATAGTTTATATAATTTATTTAACATTAAAAATAGATATATTTTTATTAATTTTATAATTATAATTTTTTTAAGGTTATAATTCTAAATACAATTTTTTTTAACTTTATAATTATAATTTATATAATTTATATTTTTTAATTTTAATTTAATATATATTTTTTATTTGTAATTATTTAATGTATATTTAAAGTAGTTTATTTACATGTGACTTTTTTATATAATTAATACTTTTTTAGAAAAATTTTCCCAAAAATAGCAACTCTCTAACATTATTTATCCTATTAATGCATTGGGGAGTACTGTTTTAGGAAATTAAAAAATGTATTAATTATGTAAAAAGGTTACATATAAATAAATCACTTTAAATATGCATTAAATAATTACAAATAAAAAATATATATCAAATTAAAATTTAAAAAATTATATTTAGAATTATAACCTTAAAAAAATTATAATTATAAAATTAATAAAAATATATCTATTTTTAATGTAAAATAAATTATATATAAATTATAATTATATATATATATATATATATATATATATTACATAAATTAAAATTATATATATGAACTTCAAATTAATTATATATATATATTGCATAAATTAAAATAATAATTATAAACTTAAAAATAAATTATATTTAGAATTATAAAAAAATTTATTTATAAAATTAATAAAACTATAACTAAAAATAATTAGAAAAACTAGTTTAGAATTTGGTTTTTTGGGGACTGAATTCTAACTAGAAAAATAGAAAATAAAAATGATGATTCAGAATTCGGTTATCGCAAATCGAATTTTAAACGGTACTAGATTGAATAGATAATATTTTTGAGACGTTGTTTTGAGAAATATTTTTTAAAATAATATTATTTATGAAAAAAAAAGTATTGAACATATAGAAAGAAATAGATTTTGTCCACAATGATTTCATATAATCTACTTTTAAAAGAATTCCGAACAAAAACACAAATATAACACAAATATGTACTAATATCAGGGAAATATAGTCCAATATTCTTTTGTAACCTTTAAAAAGTTTCATTAATCATAACAAATTATAAATTAAATTTCTTTATACCTTAATCTCTGTTTGTATTAAGATTATTATTTTTTTCACAAACATAACAGAAAGTTTTCACAAACTAATGATAAATTTTTGCATATATATAAGTTATTTTATAAAAAATATATCATATGTTTTATAAAATTATTATTTTTAAACGGTTATTAAAAGTTTTATCCAATTTGAGTGAACTTTTAACTTAAGAGAGAAAAAACAAATAGTAAAATAGTAATTCCAGTGAGTGAGAAAGGTACTTCTAATCTATTTGGAATTTGTTTTTCTCCCACTCTCTTCTTTTCAAATTTCAAATAAATATTATTTTTCTCTCTAAAATAAGAAGAAATATGATATTCAAAAAATGATAATTTAAGGATTTTTCTATTTTTTTTAATCAGTATGTAGATACTTCTCAGTTGCAACTGCTTGCATATATGCCCTGCTTTATTAGGAATAGAAGTCCTTAGTCTTGCTGTTGCACCATCCAAAGTGGGCATATATGCCCTTCACTTCAAATTAAAATGTCTCTGCCTGTCATGGAATTAATGCTATTAAAACTTTAGTCCTCAACTAAGTTATTAAAGTGGAGAGTTCTATTAAAAATTATATCATTTTTTTAATTAAATTTTATTATTATTGTAATTTAATTTTTAAACATTGAATTGCTTCTAAATATAATTACTTGAATTATTTGTTAACTATAGTTCGAAACAATTTAAATAATTTTATTAGAATAATTTATTTTTGTTCAATTTACTCTTATTATAATGTACTCCCAAATACAACATCACTGTTTTCTTGTGGTGGAGTGAACATATTGCTCAACCTTCATGCCATATTGGTTAAAATATAATTATATATATATATATATATATATATATATATATAAATTAAATTATATTTAAATAATGATACGTTGACGTATATTTAAAACAAATGATTTCTTTTGTTAAGAATATTTTATAAATTTTTAATATTTAAATATTACTTAAAAATATATAGTATTAAAAATATCATTTAGCCAAAAAAATAATTATTTTTGTTTCTTAAAAAACTGATATAAAAAATAATATTTTTTATTTGTATTCATAATCTCACTTCAATTTGATTAATATTGTCAAATCCCTGTTTAATAATGTACTTATGATTTTTTTATAGGCTAAGAAAATTTATTAGAACCAAATTGATAAAAAAAATTGTCAGTTAAAAAAAAGAGTACAAGATAAATGCGTTTTAATTATTTATATTTTTACATTTTTAAATAATAAATTTAACTCTTCAAATTTTAAAAATATATAATTTTATTTTTTATATTTAAATTTGATAATAAATATTTTCTATCATAAAATTCAAATTTATGACTAAATTCACATATTAACGAATTTCTTATTATCACAAAATTTAAAGTTAGTAGAAGGATTGGATTAAAAAAAATAAAAAAACTAATTAATCAGTTTTTAAAATATGTTTAACATATATTTTTAAAAATACATGTTAAAAATAAACAAACTTATCATTTTAAAAAAAATACATAACCTTTACGTTGGTAATCTATTTTTAAACTTAAATTTGTTTATTTATTTATTATTATATTTAAAACAAATTTATTGCATTGAAAGGTGAGCAGTATTTATAAGAGACTTCTGTTTCCTTTTCTTAGTCTGGCCTTTCCATTTCCCAGATCTGCTCCTTCCTCACCCTCAGGTAACCCTTTTCTTCTTCAATAGGTTCCCATTTTCACCCAAATTTTGTTTTTCATTTCTATTCTCGATCTCAATTTCTCATTTTGCATTTTATTTTAAGGGCGATCCCTTTCCTTCCTCGTCAATCTCCCTTCTTCAGATCCATTTTAAATCTTCATTTTCGTATTCATTTTGCTGTACGGAGTTGTAGGTTTTGATGTAGTCTATTTCTCTTATGATTGATTTGATTTGAATGAATTCATGACGCTGCGCTCACTCTTATATAGTGAAACATGAATGATAATGGTGGGAATTGAAGGCTGTTGCTCTGTTTCCATGGAAACAATTAAAAAAATAGGAAGATAGAACATGCGATTTTTTTATTACGTTTTGCATGTATGTGCTTGTTGCTTTTGTTGTTTTGTGCATTGACTCATTTATTGGATTAGATATATAATTTAAATGATTTTAGTCCAGGTTTTAATTTGCGGTCATGGTTGTGTTGCATTTCGGACTAACATGGCCGATGCACAGTTGCAGTTGCGTCCACCCCAAAAGCCTTGATGTTGTGACCAAATTGTGATTTTGGTTTGTTTTTTAAACCTAAAGTTTAATGAGATGTAAGGTCAATTGGCCAGAAGATAAAGAAATCTGGTGAAAGTCTGGTGATCATATGTTTGTTTTCAAATTTCATCATGGTCAATCTATATGTGCTTTTTAATTGGCTGGGTGTGCTTTGTAAGAAGGAAATGAAAAAAAAAAAAAACGTGCTAGATGTTGGAGTACGAATGAAAATACATTTGATAAATGTTTAGTGCATGTTTGAATGTGTCTTCTAACACTTCTGATGTATGCAATATTTGTCTGTTTATTTGAAGGCGGAGACTAAACTGTAGGTTTCAAAAATCAGCTAAAGAGCATGGGTCGTGGAGTAAGCTATGGCGGTGGTCAAAGTTCATTGGGCTATCTTTTTGGCAGTGGAGAGGCCCCAGCCCCAAAACCTGCAACAAATAATGCCCAACCTGAAGTGCAGGCTGTAAACGACGTGCCTCCCTCAAAACCAGCTGCGGTTCCTAAATCAATAGACCCTAACAAACCTGCTGGTATCAATAGTCACTCTACTGAAGGACAGAACACCGGCAACTTCATCACGGTATTTTGTACCCGCTGAGTTATATTTAATTTCTCCTTTTCCCAAGTGTTAGTATCATAGTTTGAGTTGTGTCAAAAACTAACTAATACTAAAAGCTTAAACTGTTAAATGAACAACACATGAATGGTGTTATATTATATCTCTGATACCTGAACACATAACATAAGTTATGAATATGAAAGCCCTCAGATGGATTAAAACCGCTAACACTTACAAACTTAAGTTGGTTGCCGCTAATATATGTTTTAACTGTTTTATATGTATTGTACTATAATAATTTAGTTTATAATGGTTTAATTTGCACTTCGCTTGTTCTCAATTCTAAATAATTAGGTCTGGATGTCTCAATTTAGTTAGCTGTATTAATATCTGAAGAAGTGTGGAAACGATCAAATATGTGAATGATAAAAATTTTATCTGGGTTTGATTCCTACTGCTATATGCATAAGAATCAATTGATTGTTTTTTCCTTATCAATCAGGATGGATCCACTTACATGGGAATAAATCCTACTTAATCATCATGTATTTAGCCTTGAATATTAGCACCGATTGTTTTATTAAAGGGTAAACTATGTTTTTCATATAATAACTACTATAAATATTTGTTTACAGTATAATTAAAAGATTTTATCTGTTTTTCATATAAATCATGACAAATATTTGTTTTTAGTATAATGAAAATATTTTCTCTCTTCTTCATACATTATTAATTATTTTGTTAATTTTTTTTTAATTGTCACTGTTAAGGAAACCATGTTTTATGACTTGGTTTCATTAGTTTTAATTGTCATTGCTTTTTACCTGTATCTTAGGGTTCATGATTTGGGAACATGTTTTCCCAAATAGATTTTTCGGCACTTAATTTAAAAATTGCTTTCTTTGCTATAAATTTTTAAAATAATATATAAGTCCTAATTTTTCTCACGGGACACTTATTGTCTACAACATTGGTATACATATTATTTAATGGTCCATGAACCTAACCGTTTCTTTAATGGTGACTATTAACTAAAAATAGAGAAAATATTTTAATTGTATTAAAAACATATCTAACATTTTATCAATTATATAGATATAGCTTCCATCTTGTCTTGTAAACAGAATTCAATACTGTTTTCAGGCAATTAGCAATTAACATGGTGGAATAAGGCATGGTTATTGTACTAGAGTGATGTCTTGCAAATTGAAACTACATTAAGATGATAAATGAAAAGTAGACTGCTGCCCATGCTTAGATTGTATTATCTTTGGAATTCATTTGGACTGATGTTTGGATTTCTTTTCCGATTCATCTGCAGGATCGACCCTCAACCAAGGTCCATGCTGCCCCAGGTGGTGGTTCTTCGCTGGGTTATCTCTTTGGTGGACCTGGGGAGGGAAAATGATATAACTTGTTTCAAAACTTTTGGTCAATGAACGATTTATTTTGAAATTCAGGTCGTGGAAACATAATGGAAGATATGGTGTATTATAGGTTATGGGTGCTGGGATAAGTGGGTCAAGAGTGCTATATTTTGGATGTGCTAAACATCTATTACAGAACTGTGTTTGACAGAATTAAATATTTCTATTAAGTGCACATTTGCTTCCGATTTTTTCTTTTCTTTTCTTTTCCGAGATATTCATTTTAATTTGTTATCATGCACTGATTTTATTTTGATGGACAAGAATAACTCGTACTAAAATCAGGGACAATGGAAGATGGAGTTTGGTTTGATCTCTGAACCACAAATTACTTGTAGAAAGAGGACCCCAATTATATTATTAGGAACCGAGGAATGCTTACAATGTACTCCAAATACAAAATATTAAATAAATAAAAAAATGTAAGATCTATGAAATTTGTAAGTTCTAATGAATTTTATTGATTAATAGAGTTAAAGTGTATGATAGAGTATATTAGAAACTTTTAAAACAGGATATCATGAATTATCGGGATATTTTTTTGTTGAGTATCCTTCATGTCATAGTCAGTTTACATGGAGAGTCAACGAATATGATTCTAACCTTTATTGTCAAGGTGGAAGAGAATGAAGTGTTTCAATGCTTCATACAATATTGTCAATATTTCGTATATGGAAAATATAACCATTTGAATTATGGATTGTGTGGAGAAATGAAAATCAAGTAGATTGTGCTATGAAATTGTTCTTCTTTACTTAAAATACAAAAAAAAAAAAAAAAAAAAAAGAGAAGAGGATAATCAAACAACAGAGGAAAGTTCAATTAGAAAAATAAAATCCCAAAATGCTTGTCGTCAGGAACAATAATCAGTGAGTGTTTAAGCCAGTCTACTTTAAATGACATATTTGTTATTTTTATTATATTAAATTATAAGGGATCTAATATTTAAAGTATAAAAGACAAGATGGATTTGGATTGTCTTTTGAAAAAGCAGTGTGAGTAAAATCTCACAATGTTTGCCTCCAACTACACTCATCGCATCCTAAATCTAAGACTTGTTCCTTAGCTCTTCCTCTTCTCTCACTTGACACACTTTCCATGGATAATTGATAACTCTCTTACTCCCATAGATAAATACGACCGTACCATAGCCTTTAAAACAACAATATCATCTAATATGTTTGCTTCTTCTTCTTTCCCTTGACACATTTTCCACTGGTAATAAGAATTAGATATTATTATTGAAAATTTCCAAATTTTACAATGATATAACTGCAATATAGTTAGTGTTTTTTTCCTCGTCATTAATGACACTTTCATACTTTGTTTTTCACCCCAATTTTATTTTTACTTTTATTTATAAGAAAAAAAGTATGCACTAATAATACATTTCGGAGACGATAGGAATTATTTTCCCTCTAAAGGCTAACACAAATATTGTAGGGTCCAAGAGGAAAACTAAACAAATATTGTAACGTACAAACATTACAACCATTACTCTAGCACTCAATTAGCAAAACGAAACTTCTCTGAAGGTTCTGGCTCACTTACAAGTAGAAAGCACCAACACTTATGACAGGCCATTCATGAAGGAATTTTAAGTACATCCTTTCTTTACGCACAACAGTTTTCAAATGTTCATGAATATGGAAATTTCAAGGAAATTTCTTGTGTTCTATAAATGACCTTATTCTGTGAAGCAGTTCTTCAAATGATCCACCATCAGAGGAACCTTTTGTTACACTTTCCCTACACTTCATCTGATCAACCAACATGGCTTTGCATGGACCTGACTTTGACAAAATCTTTCACTTCCTCTCCATTTGTATCCTAGCTTTCATCAATGAAGGCTCTTCCTCCCTCTCTAGTGCCTTCATGAATGAGCCATGGTCATGGGGTCTAAGCATTCCCATCAGTTTGTACGTGAAATTTGCTCTTGAGATTCACTCTCATCTTGGAATCTGTGTAGGGATTGGAGTACCCTCTTTGGTCTATTGGGGAGCCACACGTGGTGCCATAGATTGGTATTGGCAAGCTGCCTTGAAGTTCAACCACGAGATTTTCAAAACTTGTTTGTTCAACATTGTCATTGGTTTGTTACACTTGTTGGTGTCAAAGCTGGCTCATTATATCATTGAGTGGGTGAGGGATCACAAGCTGAACAGGGGGTACTTGTCTTATTTGCCAGTGATTTCTAAGTTGGACTTTGATTCACTTTCTGAGCACCCTTTACTGAGGCCAATTTCTGTCAAATATTTGTTTCTGAAGCTCATTGAATTGCTCAGTGTCTTCTTCTACAATGGGAACATATTGCTCTTGAGTTGGTGCTTTTCAGGACAGGTTTACAGTTATGAGGTTGGCAAAGCCATATCTTGGGTTAGCTTGGGGAGCTCCATGTTTGTTTGGATTAAGGCTTTACTGAGTGAACTTGGAATGCAACAGGAACAACCTGAAGAGAAAGCATGCAAGAAGGATGAGGAAAAGGATAACAGTTCTTCAATTCAAAGTGTGGAAACCAAAGATGAAGCAATAGTCAGCTCATCAGAATGTTGAGGGGTGAGTAATGGTGTCATGTGGATGACTCAATAAGATCATAGTTTTAAGTGTATCAGCAGTGAATTGTATAATGAGTGGTCTCTCTTTTGTACATATATATAATATGTCTTGTTATGGTTTTAAGTGTATCAACAGTTTTATGTGAGTGGTATGGGTTTTAAATGTTGAAACATTCCTTAATGTTGTCCAGAGGTAGACATGAGTTAGGGAGTAAAGGGTTAGTATGTGCATCCATTGTCAATCCTGTCAATGTTTTCATATATGAGAACTGTATCAATTTATTACATTACTTCTTATTTATTTTACTTTCAGCTATGCTCAGATATTGAGATAGATGAACAGGGGTGAGCCAACCTCACTAGTCATGCTTTGTATTAATCATGATCAAGTTTAATCTATTTCACTTTTTGCTTCTCTAAAAATTTCATGATTCCACTCCCTTCATTATAACTCAGTGGTTGACTTATTTAAATATATATTTTTTATTTTAATTATTTTTTATTTTTTTTATCGTTAAGATAAATGAGTTTAGGTAAATTAAGTTGTTACAATATTTTCATTCATAATTTTACACTGACACATAAATAAGAAAAATTAGAATATTAAAATTAAAAAAAAAAGATTATCTCATGAATCCTACTTAAATATGTTTAATCCATTAATTAATTGAATTGGACTCGCTTTGATTTATGATTGAGAAAATTTCAAAATTTCAGTAGGAATCCTACATGGTAATAAAAATTAGATGTATTATAAGAAATGAGTGAGTTTTATTTAATAAATACCACAATGATGCTAAATTATTCATTTATATTATTAATTACTTATTTCATTTTAAATAAATAATTGTGATTAGTACAGTATTAGTTTTTAGGTTATAACCAATATCAAACATTTGATACAATTATGTTAAATATTTGAAATAGAATTGTGTACGTGGCTCGTAAAACTCTTATTTGACTTGAGAAAACATCTCTTAGTAACAAGAACTTGTTTGATCCCATTATTAGAAGTGGTTAAGAGAGTTTAAATAAGTAATTAAGAATGCCACTAATGTTACTTTATAATGAGAATGTGGACCCTTTGGACAATTTAATCCATTATATAATATTTTTCAATAGATTGTAATTCAACCTTTAATTATACATTATTTTGATTGTTTGTAATCATTCAAGATACAGAAGGAGCAGGAACAATTCTCAATTTTGTGCAAACATCTTGCATATCTTCATAAAACAGTTCCCATGTATTATCATCAGAGCTTAAAGAAGACAAAAACAGAATTTTATTGAAGAAAATCTATCTCTCTTCGGATGCAATGTAAAGACTCTTTGGACACTCTTACCTATTTTGTTCTTAAATTAAACTGATCATAATAGAAATTATCGTCTTCCAATTTTCTATGATAGAATATCAAAATAGTTAAATAAGATAATATGACTCTAATTTTATCCTGAAATATAAAGTCAGTAAATTTGTGAATCTTTTCTAAGTTTTATTTTTATTTTTTTATTTAATATGAGACTCTAATTGGCATTTACATTTCTATAAAGATATAAATAAATAAAAAATGAGAAAAAAAAAACTATTTTTTTCTTGGATATCTGGATGTTGTACCTAACATGTTCCGCTGGATAAAAGATTGTGAAAAGGACTAAAGATTTAAAGATTTGTAAATTGTATAGGGGAAATATTTTTTCATTTATAAACATATGAGAAATAATTTTAAAATATTATTTTTTATTGATGAAAAAATAAAATAGATAAATAATAATATAAAAACTGATGAGTAAATTAGTGAATGAATATTTTTATCCATATCAATCACACTATTTATATCTATTCATTCAAAAATCATATTTTGACAATTCAAAACTCAACTTTCAAAATTAACTTATTTTTTAATAATAATTTTAATTTATTTTTATTTTTATTAAATAATTTTATAATTATTATATTAATAAAAATGAGTTATTTTGACGATTATTTATTTGAAGAGTGGTCAAAATATCTTTAATGCATAATATGTGTATGATATTGAGAATTTTTTTTATTCTCTACTATAAAATATTATTATAAAAATTATATATTATTTTATTAGAATTTAGTATAATTATAAAATATTGTAATTTTTTAATAATCTAATATAATGCTTGATATATATATATATATATATATATATATATATATATATATATATATATATGATATTGAGAATTATTTTTATATTTTTTTATAAAATATCATTATATAAATTATATATTATTTTATTAGAACTTAATATAATTATAAAATATTTTAATTTTTTAATAACCAATTAGATATTTATATTTATATAAGTTACACATGTTTTATTTCATATGAAAAAAATAATATATTATTGTTTATATTTTTTAAATTGATATATGAGACATAGTGAAGAGTCACGGGATAGGGTGGCCACGACCCTCCCCCAGATTTTTTTATTTGTATATATATACTTGTTAAAAATTAAAAATCAAATAAAATTATTTTTTAAATATAAAAATTTATTATTATATTTTTTATAAATAATAATAATAATAATTATTATTTTTTATATAATTTTTATTTATATCTTTTTTTCTCCTTTTTTTATATTTTCATTTTTTTCTTCTTCCACTTTTTTACTTTTTACATTTCAATTTCATATTTTTTACTTTTTTTATCACTCAGGTTTTTTTATTATTATTCTTTTACTTGCATTTTCCTTTTATGTTTCCATCTTATAATGTAAAAATGGTGAATTTTTCTTTTTAACTTTCACTTTTTTTTGAAGTAAACAAATTTTTTTATTGTTTTTATTCACAATTATAATATATTACCATGTATATTATTTACTATCAATTAATTAGTTATTTTAATATTTTATGATGTTAAAAAAAATTAAGTTAAATTTTAAAGATGTTTATGAAAAAAATTATATATTTATTTAAAAAAAAATAAAAAATATAGGATAAAATAAATTTAAATTTAATAAATAATATTAAAAATTTTATTGAACAACTTACAATATTATATAATAAATGATGATTTTTATAATATAAAATATCGTTGAAGATACTTAAAATATATATAATTTAATCTCATATATATTTATTTAATGTCAACATACGCATGATGATTTATAACTTTTAATAATTTTATATAATATATATTTTTATATCTTAAATTATTTTAATATATACTATATTGAATCTAGTTCCTATCATTATAAATATTTGATTTTGTCCTTGTTAAGTAATGATGATCCTTAGATTTTAGATCTTTTGAAATCTCTAAATAGAGAAAAGGAAATTTGATATATAAAACAAAATTAGTTCATTTTTTTTGTTCAACTCAAAGAAGTTTTCAATACTTTTTCAAAAGCATAATACGATGGTCGGAAAGATATACAAATGTCATAATTGAGCAGAGTTTTCACTATCAAACAAAATGAAATGATATCTATATTAGAAATAACTATGAATAATCCTTGTAGAATTATTAATACTTTGAACGATATATGAATTTTTATGATTGGATTTACACTTCACATAACATTTAACTCTAAAAATGTCACAAAAATTAAATAATCTACACAAAAATATGTTTCTATTACAAATGAAAATAAAGTCCAAATAATTAGAAATTTATCTTTAAATCTTACTAGTACTTTAAATTTTTATTCTGTCTTAATTGTTCCTTAATTTTTGATCCGTTTCTTAAATAATAATTTATTTATCTTGTGTGATAATTTTAATCTTTTAAGCCTCATTGTTGCATTCTTAAAAATAGAGTTGTTAAAATTCACAATCCTTATATTTTAAAACATCAAAATTCTTAATATAGTTTGACCTTATGTTATGCTAACGAGCTAATTGACCCATTTTTGTCTAATTAAATTAAAAAATATATATTATAATATCTATACAAAAACAATTATTTAAAAAATATTAAAATAAAATTATATTTTTAAAATTTAAACTACATTAATGAAATTAGTTTTTGATTAAGGTATAATTATTTAATATATAAATTATAAAAGAATGTATCTCCTTAATCTTAAAATAATAGTTAAAAAATTACTCTTAATTTATTTTTTAATAATTTATTAATCTAAAATAGTAATTAATCTTAATCATTAGATATTGAAATAAGTGATTGTTAAAGATTTGGTTTGATATTTACTCTTAGAATAAGGGAATCCCTTATCAAATTAATTTATAATACACATATATGTTTATATATATATATATATATATATATATATATATATATATATATACACTTATTTATTTATTTATTATTCTATAAAACAGTTCGGGCCAAAATAGGTTCGACTCAATTTAGGCACACAATTTTTTTGGCCTAGCATAACTTATTTATCGGGTCTTTCAGGTTAGCCCATCAGGCTAAACCTACATTTAACACCCTTACTTAAAAATATCAAAACAAAATAATCAATTGGTTATGATATTAGGAGAGAAAACTTATTTACCTAGATCTAAAAAAAAAAAATCTGATAAGTCACAATAAACATTAATTGTTTATAACTCTAAAGGATAAAATAACATATTTGAAATTTGGTTGTGATATTGATGCTTTAGTCATACCCCATTTGGGTATTGAAAACAATTATTTCCTATTTATTTTTCAAACTCATGATGTTTCTAGTTTTAATTGTGATGTTTATGTGTATTTGGATGTGTTGCATTGCATTGCAACAAGTTGTCTCCACGGGTCATTCAATGTGTTTTTGTTTGATATACTACAAATAAAAAATGATATAGGCATTATCATCATCCTACTCATCATATGTATATAACAATAAATGTGGTTTTTCATGAAAATACAATGTATTTCTCTACCATGTCTAATTTTTAGGGAGGGAACTAACAATAAATTTAGAAAATCCAAACTATAGAGCACAAAACTCAAACTTTAGAGTATAATATGGATCTAAATGATGTAATTTCATATCTTCACCTTTTAAGAGA